AATCTTAAATGATGCATCCTCTCTGAATCTGGATATCTGCACCTTTAGAATGAGGATGTTTCTCAATGGAGGCACTAATGGCATTTGGTGAGACAATTCTTTATTGTGCACACTGTTCTGAACATTCCTTTTTGCTCCTGCCCACAAAATGCCAGAGCACCCTTCAGTAATTATGACAACCCAAAATCCACCACCCATCCCACTAGACACATACAACACACACACACACACACACACACACACACACCTCAATGCCCCCTAGGGGCATGTACTCCCCCCATTTAAGAACAAATCAACTAGAAAATCTGAGGCCTTTTTTAACGAAGGTGAAATTAGCCATATAATATACCAGAAATCAAGTTCCCTAGGGTCTAGTGTTACATCAACTGAGAATAAGTTAGGCTCTATGTTCACTTATTTTAAAAATGAGGGCACTAATATATAGCTATATGGATGGGTAAACCTATCAAAGGACCAGTTGTGATAAATTACTCATTTCAATAACTCTAGCATAACCTCAGATGAATTCTTCACATTCCCAAGGGAAATATCCTAAACACTTTTGAGTAACATTACAGCTTATAATTTATCCCCTCAGAAAACATTTTTTTAAAGCCCAGAAGTTTTAAAGGGATCTTTTCATACTCTTAATTCACCTATCAATAAAGAATCAAAATACTTATAAAGCTACTCTGTATTTTTCTAGACCTCTTCAATTACATCTCCAGCCAGAGAGATTGGCTTAGAAGGTGTGGGGAGTACTGGGGAGTCAGTTTTTTTTACAAACAAGTGGCTTTTATTGCTTCCCAAGTGTTAACTGCGTGGATGACTAGAGAACAGTGAAACTGATGGCTGGTAGTCAGCTAAACTCATTTACTTCTCCAGCCAAACTCTGCTTGAATTTATTACATGTCATTCTTTGTTATCCGAAACCACAAATGTTAAATCCTCGAATGCCAAGGACCTCTTGTGCCCCAAGGTGCTCTGTCAATGAAAGAGAATAAAGGTTTCAGTGCTGTTCATAATGTATTGGCTGTACAGTCTATTTTTCACATTACCTTTGTAATCTTTGTGAGTTTTCTGGGTTTTGTTTTGTTTTAAACTATGGTGTGTTTTTTGTTTGTTTGTTTCTGTTCTTGCCAATTGTGTGCTCTTAATATTAATACTCCAACAAATGGTCTAAACTATCCACTGGCAAATTTGGAGATGTCAGAGAGTGGGCTACATTCCATGTGTTGCCTTTGAAATATGAGCACAGCGAGATGACTTCACATTGCGTGAGCACACCAACCAAACTCAGGCAGAAGGCTACAGTCACGACACAGACGGTTCTTTCATCTCGGCTCTCTTCAAAACTGCCATGAATTACTGTGTTGGATCTAGTGCCAAGATCCTGGGGCCAATTTCCACGTTTAGGAGGATGTGAGGGGTATCTTACACCACCCTACTGGCTCACCCAGCTACCGGCCTCTCCTCTCCACCTCAGCCCTTCTGCAAAACATGGAGGTAGCTGCACACTCGGGTGCCCTCGCAACAAAGCAGTACTTTGACTATTTGAAGATGTACCAGGCAAGTCAGAGAAGTGAGACAGCAGGGAGAAGTAAGGGGAGGCAGTTAAACCACTTCAAAACTACTTGTAGGACTTCAGACTACAGAGAACGTAGTGACCCCCAAACTCAGAGTGAAACCTCACTCTTTCGAACATTCATCTTAGAAGCCAGAAATTGGTGAGAAGTCTGGCTGCGAAAGCACAGCCCCAGACCTTCATGAAAAGCAAATGTAAGTAATTTCCCCAATTTATCCGTGTGAGCTGAGCTTTGCATGACTCTGGCTGCCACAAATCATCTCCCTCATCTTCTGTGTCCTTTGTTCCCACACCATCATTCCTCAGATTTAGGGCTTGCAGAGAAATGAGATTTCATTTTCAGCAGAAGATATCATGGCCAAGCCTCATGTGGGGCTGCCTTTACATCAGAGAAATGGAAGTGTCTTGTGTTTTGCCTGCTCCCCAGGTCCCCTCACCCCCCACCCTTTATAATAAGTAATCGTGTCCAGCTGGGCCAAGTTGACTGAGCGAATGTTGGGTGTTCATGTGATTTTGCTGCAGTGCCACAATGAATGTACCTCTTTGATGGAAGAAAGAAGGTCCATGGAATAAACAGTTTAAGGGTTTGGAGTTGGAGCTGGAAACATGGGTTGCTTTGTTCTTAGAACAACTGCTTCCCCATCTAAAACATGTCTCCATTTTAAAGGATCTGTCTTTTCTCTTCCAGCCTCAAGCTACAACAACAGGCTTGTGATGTTTTTTAATGCCAAGGTTATGAATACTCTTTTATGAATATTCTCCTTTGAAGTCATTTCTCTTGGAAAAGAAAAAAATAGCCCTATGTATTGCAGAGTGGATAGTAATAGACAAAAACATACCAATTGTTCTCTTAGGGGTAATGCAATGCTCCAAAATTCACATAGAAAAATTCCAAATACAACATAATATTTATGGAATTCTGTCTTCACAGCTATAATTTTTTAAAATAATATTTCTGGCTGGCATATATTATACAGAATATATTTCAGAGACTAATATCAAGATTCATATCTTAAAATGTTTCCCTTTGTGGCATCATGATCGCCTTCCTCATATTATTGCAAACTCTTAGTGAACAGAATTTTAGGATGTGCCATTTGGAAGGAAGGAAACCTGCACTGGAGTAAGCTGCTTATGTTTTTATTTTTCCCTTTATCTCATTTCAACATATCCTCCAACTTCCTCCTCTAAAAATAATTCAACTAATGCCAGCTCAACAGATTATATTAGATCTCCTATTAATTTCATTCTGCTTCAAAAGGAACTTATTTAGGCTTATAATTATATATGTATACATATGTGTGTGTGTATTAATGTTAACTGATATTTAGGTTCCTTATTAAAACTTCTTTTCAGCCCTAACCAGTTTAGCTCAGTGGATAGAGCATCGGCCTGTGGACTGAAAGGTCCCAGGTTCGATTCTGGTCAAGGACATGTACGTTGGTTGTGGGCACATCCCTAGTAGGAGGTGTGCAGGAGGCAGCTAATCGATGTTTCTCTCTCATCAATGTTTCTACCTCTCTATCACTCTCCCTTCCTCTCTGTAAAAAATTAAAAAAAAACATATTTTTAAAAAAAGAGTCCCTGACTTTGAGAATTTATGCTAAAAAACAAAAAACAAAAAAAACCTTCTTTTTATTCTGTTTCAATATCATCAGTTAAATCATTTCTTTTCTGGTGTTTAAAAAAAAAGTGTTTCTCTGAACCCCTTTCATATGTTTTATCTTATCCAAAGTTAATCCAGAAAAGTCAGCCTCCCTTAATCCTGCTTTGTGGCTTAGATTCTTTAGCTCTGGAAGCACTCATGCTGATTTCTGTTTTACCCATGCTGATGTCAAAACAACCTTTGCTGTGGCAGAAAAATAATCCCCAATGCCTCTGAAGCCTAATGTTGTCAGCTGAATCATGGCAACAGTGCTTTGCGAATGCTCTCCCAGACTGAGTGACCAATAGTACAACGTCAAGGTACAACTGTTGTTTTGCACTTGGCATTGAGAATATTCTGCAAAGTTGTTTCCATGTAAAAAGGAAGCACTCTACAGTGGTTCAAAGCATGAGCGTTAGAGCCAGACTCCTTGGGTTCAAATCCCACCGTTGCCACTTACTCGCTACGTGATCTTGAAGAAGAACATTTAGCTACCCTGAGCGTCGTAAAATAGGGTTAATAATACCACCTACCTCTTAGGATTGTTGTGAGGATTAAGTTGGTACAAACATATAAAGGATGTATGACACTGTCTGACATAGACAGTACTCAATGTTAGCTCATACTATTATTTAACTTACAAAGGCATGACATCTTTTACATAATTTCAGAGGCCAATATGTAAAATAAAAAGAAATCCTAGAAAATCTAATTCTGTAAAATTTATAAACATGAAATTACAGATGTTATACATGTATATATATGATTATATAATTCTGACTATTCTTTCATATAATTACTAGAGGCCCAGTGCACAAAAATTTGTGCACTGGGGGGGGGGGGGCCCCCAC